CTTGACAATTTTTTGCCTAATTGCTAGCAACTGTTAGCGTGTCTTGAATTTGTATTGGGTTTCTTATTATAATGTACATCCATTATTACAACACAGATTTTATAATAAAATTGCCATATATTGTCCCACTATAAATCAACGCTCAACATTTTCCCTGTAGAACATTTGCCACAAGATTTTTGTATTTTTACTAATTTTCATATATTCTTTATTCCAATCTTACTTTGTTCGTCCCCCATTAAAACTTAAGTTGGAAAACAGGGACTTATAATTTCACTCTGCATGCATCTGTCTGTCCCTGCGCCTATCCACACCTGTATCTTAGACATGTCTGGGCTAATTTCATTCAAACTTCATGTACACATCGCACATCATATCATACATAAGCACATGCATTTATTTCATGATCCAATTTAAGATGGCCGAATGGTGACCATTTTAGTGCTAAATCTTCACCAAAATCAAGCATTTCTGCCATTACAGAATGGACATTCATTCAAACTTGTCAATTAAACATCCTTGATACATAACATTTTTCTACCAAATTAAATTGAAAATGGCTGATTTTTGTTTTTAACAAGCCATATTGCTAACATAGCTAGACTGATAATGTTCAAACCTTACACATACAACATGTAACACATTTTCACATGCGTCTGTTTCAGAATCTGATTCAAGATGGCTGATCATCATTTTCGTTCTAAAAATGTATTATGAATATCATGCGCAGAATAAAACAAGGAATTACACAAATAAACTGGCTCCACTTTGTATCATGTCTATTGCATGAGTGTAAATAATTATTTGGCACTAATGTTAACAGTCACAGACAACCTGTCATTGACATTGATTTGTTTTTCTTTTCACAGGGCAGTTTTTGAGAAAGGCACGCGAGCGTTTGTGTCTTTTGTACAGTTCTACTCAAAACATGAATGCAAACTTATATTCAGGGTCAAAGGTGAGAGCATTGCTACAAATTTCTTGAATTAACAATATTCTGCATTCCTGTGAATAATTATCTATTCATCAATTGTATTTCTTTTTGTCAGATGTTTCTGCTTGTGTCAACAATATTCGTTTTTACCAAGTCATTTTAAAACAAATATTGTTACTTTTTGTTCAAAATATTTATATACATAGGCAATTTTTGTAGCCAACAAATGTGCCATGCAATCTTGCAACAAGTTGATTGAAATATACATGCTCTATTTTGTGCAACATGTTGCAGGTTGTTGATTGACAATGACCAATCAAATACATAGCCTGATGTCATGTGACCATATAAGCAGACTACACTAGAAGACTGTCAATCCACTAACAAACCATATCTTATGATTTTTTTACGTCTTCCACAGCGACATAATCAAATAATGGCATCTATACTCGCTGCACTGAGCCTTAGAAACCTATCTTATTCTGCAATTTTGAATCTAGTTGACAACAAATGGTTTTTTTTTCAAAAAGATGCAACTGTTGTTGCCAAACACGCTGCAACATTTGTTGGCAACAAAAGTTTCACTATGTACAATGGGTTTTACTTAGGAAATGTTTGTGTGCATTTACAAAGACACAATATCACTGTGACACTGTCTAAATAACTCCTCTGAAACTTTAACTGCAACAAAGTTTCTCAATTTTTCTTGAAAATTTGTCTCCACAAAGGAAACTCTAGTTCACAGTAATATTTAAATTAAATTTTAATCACATGCATACTGTGCCTGAAAATTGTTTGTATCCTGTTTGTTTCAGACCTTGATTTTGGTAGGCTAGCTAGGGGGTTTGCTCTTCTAAAGCTCCCCAAAATGCCTGAGTTAAAGGGTAAGAATGTGAGTGGATTTCAGTCGGTCGATATGGATTACAATTTACTTAAATACCAGTAAGTCTTTTTATTTAAATGTATGTCATTAATGTTTTGGATGGTATTGTAGATTCAATGGTAAAAATAAGGAGTGCCAAGTTCAAGTGTGTAAGGGAATATCATGTTAAAGGTTTTCCTAATCCAGAAATGTTGGTAGAAACATGCATT